TTCAAGGCAGTAGATAACTAAAGAAGCAAGAAATATGTTGCTGTTTTATCAGCTTATCACAGAAATACTTGTTTCTGACTAGAAAATCCTACAAAAAATTCATTTTAGCCTGATGTGGACGAATAGAGAAATGGAAAGTCCTTTTAAAAAAGTAGGGTTAAATCCCATATTTATGCATCTGAGATTCCATTAACTTTGAGAATTCTCTCTTGATTGGATTTACAAGTTACTGTTAATACAAATTAATATTTCCTAAGGCATATTCAAAACGGAAATATAAATAGCTGTGGAGACATGAAGTTTAATAATAGTGCCTGACTCTTGGCAGCATGCATGATAACTGAGATCAGCAGTACTTGTTCCTTTCCTCAAGAAAAAGTCTTAGACCTTTCCAGGTTACTTCAATAGTTTGCCACAATAGCATTTGTTAAATGCTGTATGTATACTGCTCAAAAAAATAAAGGGAACATTTTACCATGGAACTGAAGGGGTTTGCGTTCCCTTTATTTTTGGGAGCAGTATATTTTGATTCAATGTGCTGATTTTTAAATAAAATAAAAAGTTATATTCCCATCTTATAGGTGAATTTTGAAACTACTCAGAAAATTATAGTCCTTTAAACTTATTAATAGAAACCAAAGTTAATATCAGGTACATTGTGTTTTGATGTTGTGTCACACTTAATATTGTGGTCATGTGAAAGAAAAGCACATCATTTTATGTATACATTTTAAATAAACATCACATCCCCGGGTTCATAGTAAGCTATCTTTAATGTGTGTTCAACTTCTGTTATGAAATATATTTGTATCTTAGCTTAGTTTAAAAAAATATAACTTACTTTAATTAATCTTTGAATATTGGTAGCACATTTCAGCAACAAAAACATAGGAAGAATTATACACATATTTGAGTTATCCCTAGCAGGGTTCCTTTTGTAACAATTGAGAAGTATTTCAGCTTTTGAAATAGTTCTTTGATGGAATATCAACTTATGGCTTTTATCACATAATTCCTTTTGCTACCTCTTATTATATTCCCAAAATAACTCTTTTCCATCTTTTGTGAATGCTAAGTACTTATGTAGTGTCATCTTACAGTATTCTATTTCATTTCACTAGGGAAGCAGCAAATTAACATTGCACAAGAATATAATTTTTATATTTTGTACATAATGCTTATGGTTATGTATTTTCAAAATCTTCATGAATATTAAAATTGATTGCCTGGTGCATCCAAGGATTATACAACAATCTTTTTTGCCTGTGCTGTTTTTCTTCTGCATTGCCTTTTCCTCCTCCATGTTTCTCAAAATATTAGCTTTTCTTTTTACCCATTCCATTCTTAAAAAACAAACATTCTTAGATAATAAATCATCAGTTGACAGCTATATAAAATCAAAACACATTCTTCTATGTATTTCGATCAAAAGTGAAATTTCATTTTCTGTGTATATCCCAAAAATATTTACTATATTTTGAGGTTTAGTTGCATTAAAAATGAAAACTAAAATAAAATTGTAATATTTGACCATTGCAAGTAAAAAGAAATCCAATGGTTTCTTCAAAATGTTTAGAAAAATAGAACTTCTTGAATTAATAAACTAGAGAAAATTTACAGGCAAGAGAGGGATGAGATGCAACTAGTGAACCTCTATTTGGCATGCATGCTCTTACTATGTATAGTGCAAGCAACTAGATAAAAACAGTGATATTCTCTAAGTGGCTCACAGTCACAATTCAGAGTATCAGCAGTATATACAGTATCTTTGAGGATTGACGGCAAGCAAATTATGTTAGCTCTCTGTTTTGTTGTGCTAGTTTGCAGAACTTAGATTCTGTTTCTTGTAAATATCAGCATATGTGCTACTTCTGTGGAGTTCAGTTTTGTAGAAAATTCTTCAAATCAGTGACATCTGTGTCTTCATATTTACCTTCTAGCAATTACATCTTTTTCACGTTACCAGACATTTACAGCCATTTCTCCCTTCTCAACTATGCTGTAAGCCTTTTAAGCATTCCCAAAACATGTTGACTAAATGCTATAAAGTCACTAGATACAACTGGTTTAACGCTCTTGTTAGTTCCTTCTACCAAACCATTCTATACTTTGTTCTTGGCTTAGGATAATAATATATGCATCTACACGGGGAGATAACCCAGTCTCCCCAGCATTGTCCATTCCATGGAGAAACATAATTCAATCACATAACTAAAATGCATAATGCAAAACAAGAGAGGAGATATAAGTGCATAATCATAGATCAATTCTTAAAATTCTCAAAATCTTTAAAATATAGTAGAAAATAACATGTTAAACAGTTAGCTATTTAGGGATTATGTTCTGCATTTATATACCTTTAATTATAATTTCAGTATTTCTCATTTTTGTCACTTAGCAGGCTAAACAATCATTAAACAGCACTCTTGGAATTTCTGGCACTAACTTTTTTTTCTAGACAGACATTCTAATATTCATAGGCATCCTTCCAACAAAGACAGATTTTAGTATAGTGTACTTTTTTTCTAACATCCCTGGAAAGCATAGCAGTGACTTGCAACCTTCCTACTGTGCATCTGTTCTTTCTCTCTAATTGTCTGCAAACCTGTGTCTGCAGCTGAAACAAAGCAGCTGGAATTCAGTTTGAATAAGCCAAGGTCCTCTATGAAAAGAATTGGTTGAAGAAAAGGCTAATGGTAGAAACTAGAATGAAATTACACAATATTGGATGTAACATTAGATATAGAACTGTTCTTGCTAGATGTGTTCAGCAACTTTTCATGAACATACTATGGCACATCAGACTACATTTTTGGTATATAAATTTCGATGGCCAAATTTAAGTTGCACTTTTTAAAATCCAACTTTTAAGTACAGAAGGGGTGAAAGATGCAATGATACATCAATAGCTAATTTCTGTTGTTTAGAGATAAAAAGAATAAACTATGTATGATGTGTTGAGACTTGGGTGAGAATGATTGAAAAGGAATAGTAAAAGATATGCATGAAGTAACATAGGTATTATAAATGATGTTGCTGTGAATGTGTACTAGCACAATAATTATTTCCTGCCTGAAGGGATTAAAACTTGTCTTAACCTATATTAGAATGGTATTTTTTTTTAGGAATTAAGATGTGTATTACCTATCAACTCTTGCAAGCATTAGGGTGAATGTATTAGCTTAATATTTTGCAGATGCTGACAGAAGACATTGAGTTGAGGGGCCCTGGATAGCTGAATAGTAAACATACAGAAGCTATGCAGGAGAGAAGATGAAGGGAAATATTCCTATGTAAACAGAAGTACATTTGTACAATGTTGAATGTTACCCTTAAATCTTAAGCTTCACTTATCTTCAGAAATACAGCAAAATGTAGGTTGTTCGCAGCAGAATTGAAAACACCAAACCTCATTTTGTAAATGTGTTAACATTTGAAACATATTACATTAATAGAAGAATATGGGGTGGATAGCTTTAAGGAAGTGCTTGTAGTGTGTTTTGATATCCCTAGGTATTGTAGAGATCCCAAGGTTCAATTTTCCATCTTTATAGCAATAGCACTTAGACTTATATACTGCTTCACAGTGCTTTCCAGCCCTCTCTAAGCAATTTACAGAGTCAGCATGATGCTGGGACCTCATTTTACCAACCTCAAAAGGATGGAAGGCTGAGTTGACCTTGAGCTAGTCAAGATTGAAGGAATCGAACTCCTGGCAGTGAGAGCAGAGTTAGCCTGCAATACTGCATTCTAACCACTGCCCACCGCAGCTCCTATATAATAATTTATAACTATAGTATTTAACAGGGTCTACTGAGACCCATATAATTATTTTTTTCTTTCATCTGCAAATCTAAATGACACATCACAAACAAGTTCAGCTTTCATTGTAACATAGGAACAGATGCTACACAGTGAGCAATATAACTTCAGTAATCTGAAATGCATGCTGAAATAGCAGTATGATGGAGTACTCTGTTGTCCAGCCTTAAATTGGAATTAGTGAAAACTAAAATCCAACCTCAATTATGTAAATATTTTCATAGCTTTATAACTGAAATATAAATTTCAGAGACTTGTGGTTTGTATAGAAAAATAATTAAATAATTATTTAAAAATTGTTAAAAATGATAATAATGTCTATAATGACATTCTTTTTGCAGATAAAGTTTTAATTTCTTCATGCCAATAAGTTAATGTGGTATAATAAAGGGGTTTATAGCATAAATTAACCTCTGTATAAATTCTCTACAGGAGAACTGTAGGCATGGTTGGATTATATTTATGACAGGTTAAGATATGTTAACTATTGTATCCTATGACTGGAGAAAAGTGATAATTCTGAAGTTTATGAAGGTCATAATGTATGAAGTGACTAATTTATGGTATAAGTAAAATATGAGGCACGCTTTTTCTTCAGTGATAAATCTTGTATTGCTGCCTGAGTATTATAAACTTCTTTTTAAAATCTTCACATTGTTTTTAACATTTGTAATTTATTTTGGCATTTATGAATTTGTTGTAGTGAATACATTTAATATAATATAAGAATATCGTATTTAGTTATAAACTACATTTTATGAAATTATTTTCATGGACAAATGTGTTAAAAAGAATTCCACTGATTTGTCCATGCATACTACTCAAAGTTGTACTTCATGTGCCATTTTGTTTCAAAAGGGTTTGAGTTTAAAATCAGTGCAACTTTTAAGATTTGTTGCTATTTGCTATAAAGCAAATAATACCATTTTCCATAAAATTTCAGTTTAAGATTAAAGAATTGATCTTATACATATTAATAATTATTAAATTTATATGCTGCACAATGCCCAGAATTATAGAGACATGGATAGTTAATCTGAACCAGTTTTTTCCAGCTTATTTGCAGTAGATATACAGATTTAAACATTTCAAAAAGGCGTATTTCTATTTGCTTTATCATGCTTGTGCTTCTAACTTGAGAAGGTTAGAAATAATAAATCTTTATTTTTTCCTTTTGAAGACGCTGTGCGGACAGTAATGACTGGACGTTTCCGATTGCCTGCTGGCAGAACCTACAATGTACGAGCATCTGAGCTGGCACGAGATAGACAGCATACAGAGGTGGTCTGCAATATTCTTCTTCTGGATAATACTGTACAAGCATTCAGACTTAATGTAAGTACAGTGTTTGAGAAGCATTCCTATAATACAATATTAATTTCATTTTTAAGCATTTAATAACAAATTTAACACAAAATAGAATAATAGAATTGGGAGGGGCATTTATATCATCAAATTCGACCTCCACTTTGGTACAGGAAACCTAATGAAGGCATCCTTGACTGCTTGCTATGAGATCTGTGTTTAAATATATCCAGTAAAGGAGCGCTTACATAGCAATTAATTTCATTCCAAATGTCCTTAACCATTTGGAATTCTTCCTGACAGTCAACAGAATCTGCCTTCTTGTAACTTAATACCATTATTTTGTGGCCGCCTCTCTAGGACAGTGATGGCGAACCTTTTAGAGACTGAGTGCCCAAACTGCAACCCAAAACCCACTTATGCATCGTCAAGTGCCGGGTGGGTGTGGCCAATTGGGTGGGCATGGCCAATTGGGTGGGCGTGGCTGCAGTGGTAATGGCAGACTGGGTGGAACTAAAAAGTTCAATCAATCAATTCCAACTTTGCAAGATCTTTTTTTTCCCGTGAGAAGTTGAAATTGACTGATTGAACCTTTTTTTTTTTTTTTTGCACACGGCGGCGGAGGCCTAAAGCGAAAAGGTTTTATAAAACCCAGCTGAAGGCCTAGGACTGGGGCGACGGCGCGTGTGCCCAAAGAGAGGGCTCTGAGTGCCACCTCTGGCACCCGTGCCATAGGTTCGCCACCACTGCTCTAGGATGATAGAATATAGCCACTTTCCCAAAAGCATGGTTTTCTTTTAAGAACCTGAAGAGTATTCTTAAATTCCTCACCCATTTTGACATGTTTTAGGGCTAAACTTACCTACCTTCTTTAGCCTCTTTTCCTTTCAAGCCTTAGTTTCTGATCTTCCCATCATTCTTGTTTAATGTATTTTGCATCTGTTAATGTTTTTCTGATTCCTCTTATAGTATTGAGCCATGGTGGCTCAGTGGTGCTGTGGTTAGAATGCAGTTTTGCAGACTGACTCTGCCCACTGCCAGGAGTTCAGTCCTGATTGGCTTAAGGTTGACTCAGCCTTCCATGCTTCCGAGGTCGGTAAAATGAGGACTGAGATTTCTGGGGGCAATATGCTGACACTTAAACTTCTTAGAGAGGGCTACAGAGCTCTATGAAGTGGTATATAAGTCTTACGTGCTATTGCTGTTGTACCAAGAACATGACACAGTGCTTGATGTGGTCTGAGCAGTGCAGAATATAGTGGAATACTACGTTTTCATGATTTGGAAACTCTGCTTTGACTTTTTTTGCCTTCTTGCCAGCACATAAGATTGATGATACATATTCCAGTTCTGATAATCTACCACTAAAAATGACAAGAACAGTAATATGCTATAACAATTGTTTTGTCTTTGTTCTTGTCTCTTTTACTGGGATTTTCTAGAATATTTTTGTTAATTAACATCAACTGTCTCTGTTCTGATCTTGTTAGGAAGAAAAACAACAGTTTAATATACAAATGATGGTTTAAGAATCAAAATGGAAACTAATAGAGTTTCGTTTTAGTCTGTTCACAGTGGTTTCACAAAATGGATTAATACGCAAGCAAAACCAGTACTAAAGTTTCTAATTCATAGAATCTATAATCTGTTCAACAATAGATTAACAAAAGTGACATAGGCAAAGAGTTATTTCCTTTTCTCAGGCTCCTATTTTCAATACACAGTGATAATGGATTGCATTTTTGTTCTATAGACAACAGATAACATTTATATGATTAATTCTTGGGGAACTAAGAGCTTCTTTTTGTTCTTACTGTTATATATAAATAAAAAAAATCTGTTTGAAAGTATATATGAATTTGATGGTACAGTGGTAATTTCAAAATAAGGATTAGAAGTAAGGAAACGGTGATAATAGGAAGAGAACAGCATTGTAAGAAGGCATACAGTATTTATCTTATTTATGTATTTTTCCCTCACATATAATATGTGATGGACATTCACTGAGAATAGAAAAAGCTGTTGAAAACATGAATGAGCAGGAGGTACAGATGGCTGAAGATGTCCCTGCTGAGGATGACCTTGAAGATCAGCCTCCCTAGCAACTTGGGAGGTGTGGAGCTTATTATCCCTGCTGCTTATGCATTTTAATCCTTTCTGAAACAGACAAGCAGGATTTCTGTCCTTTTTCTTGCCTGTCCTAACCAGTTATCTCTTCTCTTTTTCACATTTTCACTCAGGTTCATTTTGCCTCTCATATTCAACATAATCTTCTCTTAATCTATTTCAATGAAGTTTTCTTTTTCTTATTTTTGATGAAAGGATGGTGGAGGATATGTGCATAATGTATGTAACTAACACTAGTTTATTTGTATGCAAGAGAATGATTGATAAATGGTGGGAACATTTTTATAAGTAGAATACTTACTTTATCAAAAATAAAATAATATCATGTCTTATTTCATAAGAGAAGCCAGTTTGGTGCAGTGGTTGAGGAACCAGGCTGGAAACCAGGAGATTGTGAGTTCTAGTTTCACCTTAAGCATGAAAGCTGGTTGGGTGACTTTGAGAATTCACTCTTAGCCCACAATATCAAGCTCAAGTGACAAGCCAGTTGGCCAATTCCAGTCGCAACCAATGCATCAACATTCAGTTGATCTGGAAAAAACCCGTGGACCTTGCTTGGGAGAATATGCTAGGAAGAAAAAAAAACATTATTTAACTACCCTTTTTTTTTTTAACTTTTGCCCCCTTTTTTTGGAATATGATCTTTGGGAGATACACACACACACACACACACACACACACATACATTTTTATGCACATTTATATATAAGTGTGCTACATATATATATTTATTGTGGGGGAGGGGGAGAAAATACCAGAAGAGCTTTTAATTAGAGTTGCACCTTTAAATTGACAAGATATAAAAAAGGGAGGTTACATAGAATTTCTCTGTGTGTGTGTGTGTGTGTGTGTGTGTGTACACATACACACACATACACATACATACACATAATATGTATTTCTGTCTCCAAATTAAAATCAAAATCTTCTCCTGTCAGGTAAATTCAGTTCTTTGGGAGGGTGATGCTTCATAATTCTAGACTCTCAGTCTCTTTTCTGATTTTTCATTAGTGAATGTTGATTACTTTTTTCCAGTAGAATCTTTGCAGTATTGCCAATTTGTAAATTCTTACTGATCTTGTTTAAAATACTGACCTAATTTTAGTTTTTTGAAAGATATTTCTTAACCTATTAATAGTCAAAATGTCTTGTTCCTTTTTATGTCTTTTTCCTCTTTTACTTATTTGGTTATATTATGCAGGTTAAATAAATCTAAGACATTTTAAAGACATGAGGATTACACTCTATGATAGCATGTTTTACATTTCTTAATATGTCAAGAGGACAGAAGGAATATTACACTTGTGTTCTGAGGACCTGCACATATACACTGACACTTATATGGCTCATCTATTTAGAAGCACACAAAGAGAAGGTGTGGCTCAGTTTTGAGACTCTCTGGGAAGTATGTATGGAATACATAAAGATGTGAGTTGTCTGTGGCATTTGTTGAATTAAAACAACAAGGCCCCTCCTGTTTGGGTGGAAGTGATGCTAATATTACCTAGGTCCTTCTATTCCTCCCACTCCTGTCTACCATCTAGTTTTGAATTCTTGTGGGTTGAAATTGGCAGGGTGTGTGTTCATATGCAGAACTATCCTTGCAACCTAAAGTGATTTCTCTCTGACCTTTTTATAACCTTTACAGCACATATAATAATATAGCCATTTTTTCCAAAAGTTGACAGAATTCTCCTAGTGTACTTGAAAATGGAACTTTGCTGAATTAAATATCTCAGTATCCCTCCCAAATAAAATGAAGTTAAAATAAGAATATACATAATAATGCATTTTTTTTATTTTAATGTTTTTGTACACTTAAAATAGGTATCACTTTGTTTCCCCCAAAAGGAGATTATAGCACACCATAATATTTACTCCCAATCTTATATTCTTCAGTGGAAAACTAATGTTACTAATATTTATTACTTTAATTCACTATAAAATAAAATATTACAAGATTCAACATTAACATAGTGCAAAACTGTCAGTTTTTCTAAATCAAAGACTGACATTTTAATTTTGTTACTATTATTTTCCAGTGTATTCCCAGTGTGTTTTGCAATTAAATTTAAATGTAATAAATATGCCAGTTATAACAAGTAGTAATTTTACCTATTTCTATCATTGCTTACGTACTTAGTCTTCGCTGCTGATCATAAGCAAGTCCTGTGATTTAATCTCATAAAAGGAAAGGTATTTTCCCCCCAAGTCGTATAGAAATATTGCACAGAACTAAAAATGTGGGAATGGGAAACAGTGTGTACTTGTACTTTCATACAAAAAGCTTCATCATTTAGTGCAGTGTTCTTAAACTGGGGGTAATTACTCCCGGGAGGGGTAATTTGGACATATTTGGGGGTAATGGAGTACTATGTAATAGCTTGTTTGTGAGTCGATGATCCAGTTTGGGATTGCTGCTGCTGAGACGCTTTGTAAAACAACAGTCTGCTTTTTTGTGATAGAAATAACATCACTTGAGACTGAGAAATGGGATAATTGGATCAAAACACTTTAAGAGACACTGAAGTAGTGGATATTTAATTTTGACATGCACAGAAAGGAAATTATGTATAAATTGGCCAGCAGGTCAGAGTATGAAAGATATAATGAAAGAAGGTATAAGTACAGAGTCTAAAAGGAACAGAGGAAATAAAGGTGTGGTTAAACAGCATACCTGTCAGATATAAGAGAAAGAGACAAGTTTATATTCTCATGGGCAGGGCAGACTGTTGAAAATGTTCTACAAGTACTAAGTCTACAATGAAATTTAGTGGAAGTAGAGGTGATTTAACTCAAATGCATATTGACATATAACCATTTCAACATGTGCAACTTTATTCAATTATACTTTGCAAGAGAAGCAATATTTAAAACATTGATATCTGTAGTTCAACCAGTATTAACTTCTTATTAACTGTTTAACACCTGTTTCAATAAACCAGGAAAATATCCTATAATCTCAGAGTTAATGAAAAATGCAATAAAATTCCTCTGTTCAAATTCATTGACTGGAATGACAAGAATTTAATCTTTTTTTTTAAAGGATGCACTTTGTATCTTTGTCCCTTTAGTTTTTTAATATATAAATGAAAATGTATACAAAAGAATTTTTTCTTGAATTTTTGTTGAAATTCTGTTATGAAAAATATACGAGCAAAAGAGTTGAAAGATGATGAGCATGTTTAAATTTGTGTATTCTATTTAGGTATATGGTTGGTTTGATTTGCTAAATGAAAGAGATCTCTTCCTAAATTTCTGTATTATTTAGGACTAATGGAAATTATTACTGGCAGAATGTTAAGTTTGGGTCGAAGCTTTAGTTTTATCTGTAAACTATTTTTGTTTTGTTTTTCTTTCTACAGAAACATGATCAGGGGCAAGTTCTGTTGGATATAGTTTTCAAACATCTTGATCTGACTGAGAGAGACTATTTTGGTTTACAAGTGGCTGATGATTCTACTGATAACCCGGTAATCCATACTATATCTTCCCATTTTCTCTTCTCTTGGCATTTGAGATTTTGTTTTATTGATCATAACATATATAATTATTCTGAGGTTGCTTATAGTCAGTGCTTTTTTTGTAAAAAAAAAAAAAAAAAAAAGGTGCCGGAACTCACACATGTCATACAACCCGCCTTGCCTACCCTACAAGGTTCCATCCAAAAAAGGTGCCGGAACTCCGTTCTGGACATTCTATGACAAAAAAAAGCCCTGCTTATAGTGTAGAAAAATATTATGAGCAATGTATTGTTCATGTTTCACTTCTTTTCCACCTTAAAATAAAATATATCTAGACATTTGTTTTCTGGTACAAAATAAATATCTTCAGTTTATTCTCACTGTAAATTCCTAAATTCTCTGGCCCTTTTAAATTGCAACAGATGCCCCTGAGAGACAAATGAAAATCAAGAAGATTCTTATCTTGTCCAATTTTTGACGTAGTGTATACTGTTATCAGAAATATTTCAGCTCTTAAGGCAGATGTGAATTGATATTAAAAGAATCTCAATTAGCTCTATCAAAGAATACCTAGTGTTTTGCTGCTACTGTTTATTCTAGGCATCTTAAAAAATATTGGAGACTGGTCACTAATTATCAACATTTGTAGAATCCAAACATTGATATTTCAACAGCTTCTTTTAGAGACTATGGAATACGTATCTCCTGATACTTTTTTCACATGTTTAATCTATCTAACCAGTTTGGCTCTGATAGTTTCTTAACACTCCAGGATAGAGAAGGGTTTATTAAACATAAAATCCCTTTGAGGGTACATATGGGAGACTGCAACAGAAAAACAACATGCAATCCTCAGTTCATTCAGATTTTTTCCCTGCGCTAAAATCATGTATCATTGCTTTTAATTTTGTCCTAGAATAGAGTAAGAAATATGGCAATGAATAGATATCTATTAATAATGGTCTAATCAGAACCTATAACTAAATTCTGGAATAAATGCATAATGATAGACTAATACCATGCTATCAATAGTAGATGAATATTTGCGATAATAGAAATTAGTCCAAAACGCAAATAACCATGAAAGCAGTTTCTAAATCATGATAAAGTCATAGCCAAAGTGCTCACATAAACTGAAAGAAGAGTATGATCTTAATAAGCAAAAATGAATAGAAAATCAAGGTAATTATGTTTATAATTTTAAGTAGTTTCACAAATCACTGTTTGTAACTTATATTGTACCAGGTATCCTCAAACTCAGTCCTTAATGTCTCATTAATTGTTTTCATGGCACCCATAGTAGTTCTCAAACTAAGTGTCCTAGTGCCCTGAGGACAATTAGGACACCACCATTTATTCTGAAATCAGAACTATAGTGTGCTCTTAATTACTATACTTCATCAGGAATATCTATTTATTCTTTTTGAGTTTATTAAAATAAACATCTCATTAATTAACTTGGTTGGCTAGTTTTGTAACCTAAGATAATTCTTATAGATAGTTCATATATTGCTGTTATATGGAGATCATAATGGGCACTTCCAGAGGTGTGCTCTTACTCCAGCTGTTTATAATAATGAAACACATAGGTAAGAATGTTGTAATCTTATGAGAGAGATGATATGAATAATAGGTCGTAGACTATGAAAGACCTTTGGCAAATGCATTAGCTGGAATATGTAAGAAAAGTAGCAAGGTTAATTATAACTTGTTACTCTCAAAGTGGACCCTTCCTTTCCCTTTCCATACATATATAATTAAATTTTGCTCTTCTCTCTGTCTTGCCAGTTTTCTTGCTTGATCTAATTTACCATTAGAAAGGAAACACAGAGTAATTTTTAACAAAAAAAATCCCACCCCAAAAAGTATATGCATAACAACAACATCAAAATCTAGTGTAGAGTTTGTTAAATAGTGTGACTAGACTTCGTACAATATGTTCAATTTAGCTAATTATTATATCTGAATGGAATTTTATAATCTGTTTTATGCAAAATGAGAGTTTACGAGTGCACAAAAAGTATCTAGAAAGATGATGTGTTTCCTCCAAAGTTTATTAAACTTAAATTCATTAAATCAAGGGTTTGCTACTTGTATTACCAAACAAAGCTAACCAGCTTGATTTTAAAACAAAAAATTATCCACTAATTATTCTTGGTATTCTTAATATTCATCTTATATATTGATATACACTACTGTATTTTCATTACAATTTCTTTTAAGCTAAATAACTTTTCTCCTGTAACTTTCTCCATCATGTTCACTCATTTTTATTAATGTAATATTTATAATTTTTCAAATTCTCCCAAGAATCCTATGGTTAAATAGTATCTTTTTGCTCTCTCTCTCTCTCTCTCTCTCTCTCTCTCTCTCTCTCTCTCTCTCTCTCTCTCTCGCTCTCGCTCTCGCTCTCGCTCTCTCTCTCGCAGTCTAGCTATCTTTTTGCTTTCTCTCTCCCCCTCCCTCTGTGTGTGTGTGTGTACCATAAAGTTACTTAGCAAAAGATGGCAGTTTAGTTTGTTGATTTTTATAAAAATCAGATCATAGTGATTGTACATTTCATGAATGTCAACTCCATCTATGATGATTGAATCTGCAGAGAATGAGTTCTAGAAATCATTTGACTAGAAAAGCACTCAAAATATTGCACACACAAATTAGTAACACCCATTGGCTCATAGTACTGAGAGAAGCAAAATTAGGCAAGCGTAATTTCCTAAAGAAAATAGAACTATTTTAAACAGGATACATGTGGCCTTTTGTTCTTTCTAATCACCAGGGTACACATCTAAATTCAATTTATCCCAAATTGGTTTCTTGTCAAATTGGGGGATGGGGAGTAGAGAGGAAAGCCGATATGACGTGTTCATTACAGGTGTTTCCAGATGACTATATTAAATAAAAATATTTAATATTTTCAATATTAAAATATACTTTCTTAATCCAGAAGTTAAAACTGGTAGGGAAAATAATTTCCTTTGGGATTAAATGGGAAAATCATTTATTTCGGGGTTAAATGGGATTCTTTATTAAATTGATACATTTAGAAAGAAACTGAAATAATCTTGTTCTATGGATTTTTCCATATGCTTGCCTGACATTGATTCAAACTGTTGTTTTACAGACTAATTTTAGTTTTAAAACATTTTGATGTATAGATTAGGGGATATTTAAATTTTTAGCATACCATCCCCCAAAGCTATAGCATAATAACTTTGAGATACCTCACATTATGTTTATCCTGCATTGTTAGTCAAATGGGCTGCATATAATATAATCTGTGAGTGCTGGTTCACGGTTTCCAGAGCAGGTCGAAGTGTTTACCTGTATCTGGCTGTCCAGGATGAATATGCCATGTATTTTATGAACTCTGTGCTCATTTCAGTATCACTGCAAACATAAAAACAAAAACAGAGTCTTTAATATTTCCTTGTTTTGAAATGTGGCAAAACATATTTTGTTTTGGAAAAAATATAATAAGCCAATATTTTCTCTCCCTCAGAGGTGGCTGGATCCAAACAAGCCAATTAGGAAACAGTTGAAAAGTGAGCAAAATATTTTATCTACTTTGAATAAAAATCATAATTAAATTTAGGTAAAACCCGAAGTAAGCTAAAATATCAAATTCTAATCTGATGTGTTGGTTCGTTTTAGGAGGATCACCCCACAATTTGAACTTCAGAGTCAAATTTTTTGTAAGCGATCCTAGTAAACTTCAAGAAGAATACACACGGTATCTGTCTTTTTAATTTTAATAAGTTACTCTTTTGTTTTATTATGTAAAATATAATGCTGTTGGTGTTAAATTTACATACATTTGATTTTATAGAAGGCATTATGTAAGATAGTAGAGCTTCAGCCATGGGGCAAGTAAGGCTGCATCCATGGTTGTTCTAACATGGTTCAATGTGAAAATCCATAATTCTCTTCCCCATGCTATTTAGTATCTACATGAAACTCTTGGGTAGGTTGTGTGTCAGTTAAGAGGGAGTTATTATCAGTGTAATGATGAAAATGAATTTTATATATTCATCTCGAGTTAAACCTGGGTGCTATCAAAGTTCTAATTCAGCATCTGGAGACTGTTGGAGCCTAGATGAGTAAAAGGTAAAATCAAATCTCTGCAAGAAAGTTGTTTATTCTAGATAGAGTTCCATTGGCCCTAAAGGAGCAAGTGTGTGATTTGGAGTTTCTCTAAATTCAGCCTTCTGCTGGAAGAGCAGGTTAAACTATGGACCCGAGGGCCTTTCCAAGTTTTCACTTTGGGGACATGGAGGCATTTTCAACAGTCAGTCAAGCATTCTTCACTCTCAGTTGAACTAAAGCAATACATTCCACGTAGGCCCTACCTTACATGATCGCTCAGAAGCTACAGGTGGTCCAAAATATAACAGCCTATCTGTTGAATAGAAATAGCACATTTATCAATGTACTACTAAGGCTACAACTGCTGCTTTGGACAAAGTGCTAGTTTTTGCATTTAAAACCTTCATGCCTTGGTTCCTGAGTACTTACAGATCCTCTTTTCTTGACAAAAATCAGGCCATCCCATTCGTGCTGAGTGGGGAGTATATTGAAGGAAAGTGTGCTAAGTGTTCCCATTGACATAAAGAGAGGGCAGTGGGAGCCCAACCACATGCTGAATCTCCTTGAGTACTAGGAGGTAGAAAAGTACATAATTCCTTGAGTAAATATATAAGTATATAGCAAATATTCTGAACAGTTTATTCATAAACACGTATTCAAATTAATCATAAACACGTATTCAAATTATTCATAAACACGTATTCAAATTATATGAAGTCTTCAGTGTATTGATGCAAACTGTTACATCAATAATATGCTTTCTAAATACATACACATTTGGTAACTTTTTTAAAAAATTCAGTTGCATGTTTAATGTAGAGTAAGATATCTATATGAACATTTTTTTAAGAAAATTTTTTTTGAAGGCATTTATTACTGCAGTTCGTTTTTGCTAAAGTACCTTTAATCTTAGTTGAGTTCCAGCACAGAAATTATTTACAATGTATATTTTAAGAAAAAAATCAGATATCTGAATTTAATTTCATTGTGTATTTGCATACCTGCTGCACTACATTCATTTAATCTGTTCCTATTGTCCCTTAATACCTGAAAGCCTTCCAGGACAGCACCATTTTTCTGACAAACAAGTAGTATATAATAACAGATATGTATAGAATGTATATTCTTTCAAATGTAATGCCCTTTTAATAGTAATTTTATTAAGGATTATAAATATAACAGTAAATAATGCAAACTCAGTAAATAAAAGAATAAAAAGAAAAACTGGAAAGTGCAGGAAAGAAAGAGGAAAAAAGAAAAAGGGGAAAATAGGAATTAAAAAGAAATAATATAATAAAGAAAGGAAATATATAAAGATGTGACTTCTCACCTTCATTACAACAAGTATGAAGAATTTTAGTAACTTATCACTTTCTGTTAAAATACAGCAAATGATCTTTTTCCTATATCCCATCTCTTGTCTGTAAACAAATACATAAAGCTTGACATTTCAGTACTGATGTCAGCAAAAGTCCACTAAGACCTATCAGAGAAAACATATCTAATTTAATCTTGATCAAATAAGTCAAGTTGATATTCCTTCCTTTTACTTCTAAAAATCTTGATCTTCAGTTCCTATAAATAAGGAACCTAGAACTGATTTGTTTTCAATTTTTCTTTGTCTTTTTCACAAAATTCTTCAAAACTTTAACAAGCCTTTTTTTTGGTAAATCCATTATTGGAAAGTTATCCAGGTCAAGACATCACCCAGTTTCTTTTGTTTAACCAATATAACATCTTTTATCATGTCATTCTTAATGCCTGTCTTTTTTTAAATCCACTTTCAAGTCAGTCTCAATCTGGTCAGGTAGAACTTGTTCACCTTCCATAATATCTTTTAGACATAGTCTGTCTTTAGAGGCAGACATTATTAAAATTAATTTCTGGATCTATTACTCAAAAATATGCTTCAATATGTCCAATGTTATTTTTTTATTCATTCTATAGTTGTAAATTGAACATGAGTGTATTTCTTTAATTAAAATCTTAAGTTCCCTCGAGTCTCTCTACTGTCCAATTTTTAAATTCTTTATCTTACTATGTTTTTCAAAAAAAACATTTTTTTCAATGGGAAAGAATCTTTATATTTTAATTCCAAATTTATCTCAAATTTATCTGTACCCTTAATCCATTCACAACTTTCTAATATCAATGAAGGAGAATATTTGTAGCTCAGGATTGCAATGTGGGGGTCCTTGGTGCTCTCTGAGCTTGGTTATTTTCAGGCAGACGTTTCATTACCCAAATTAGGTAACATCATCAGTGCTAGTAAGGAGTGGGGTTTCTTCTCAAACACTGATGATGCTACCTAGTTTGGGTTATGAAATGTCTGCCTGAAAATAACCAAGCTCAGAGAGCACCAAGGACCCCTCACTTTCTAATATCAAAATTTTAATCACCCTTTTGCTATTTATTCCCCAAAAAAGTTTTTCAATTTCTTAAACTCCTAATGCAGCGGTTCTCAACCTATGGGTCGCGACCCCATTTGGGGTCGATCGACCATTTCACGGGGGTCGCCAAGCAAGGCTGTCCGCCATTTTTTTCCCCTTTTCCAGCGGGTGCCTTACCTCCCTTGGGCTGGGCCAGCTGGTGGTCGGCCTGCTCCATCTCTGCCGCTTGCCAGCTACGCCTCGGCTGGCGCAGGGGGCGGAACCACGCATGCGCGGCGCTCCCGGGCAGGGAAAGTCCTCGACTTACGACTTGTTGGGTAGTCCTCGACTTACGACTGGTTTAGTCCTCGACTTACGACCGGTTTAGTCCTTGACTTACGACCAGTTTAGTCCTTGACTTACGACCGGTTGGGGGTCGCGGCATTAAAAAGGTTGAGAACCACTGTCCTAATGCTTTAAACCCACTGGGGACCACTATCTTGTGGTCTTCTCCTGAGGAGCAGCTGTCCGCAGCACTTCTGAGGAATCCGAACTGTTCTCTTTATCTGGAGAAGAATTATTGAAGAGCCAGCCTATCTACCAGCCTTTAATTCCACTGAGGTCATTGGCTCCATTTTTTGTAGAGTGATCTGCAAAGAAGTCCTTTTTTTAGATTAAGTTGCCATTCAGTTTTAGTTCAGAGTACAGATAGCCCTCGACTTACAACAGTTCACTTAGTGACCGTTTGAAGTTATAATGGCACTGAAAAAGTGACTTATCACCATTTTTCACACTTACGACCATTATAGCACCCCCATGGTCACGTGATTTACATTCGGATGCTTGACAACTGACACATATTTGTGATGGTTGCAGTGTCCAGGGAACACGTGATCACCTTTTGCAACCTTCTGCCAAGCAAAGTCAATGGGGAAACCAGATTCACTTAACAACCATGTTACTAATTTAATAACTGCAGTGATTTACTTAACAAATGTGGCAAGAAATGTCATATAATGAGACAAAACTCACTTAACAAATGTCTCAGCAACATAAATTTTGGGTTCAATTTTTGTTGTAAGTTGAGGACTACCTGTATATAATTTTTAAAATGCATTTAATAGATTGGAATGGATCTCTAAGATTACCATGTATAATAGGTCTTTCCCTAGAAGAGTGGAAAGACTTGTCTTTTGGTGATAGTCTCCCTGTACCAAGATAACATAAGCAATACTTTAAATTCAAAAGAATAAATCCTAAGAGCCAAGCAAAATAATTTTTTAAAGTTGGAATCTTTACCCTAAAGAAGCTTATATAAAAAGGAAACACCTGCCTAGAATATGGAACTAAAATGCAAAATACCATTATATAAATAAATATCAAAACAAAATCCTGAGCATTTCAACATTTTTACAAATCCTCACTCTCAGTTCATGAATGGAAGCAAGACATTATCTGAGATGCAGAGAATATTAAAGCACCAGATTTAATGCATTTGTTGTTGTTAGTTGTGAAGTTGTGTCTGACCCATCGCAACCCCATGGACAACGTTCCTCCAGGCCTTCCTGTCCTCTACCATCTTCTGGAGTCCATATGCACTCCAATAGCAGTGTATCTGAAACCTCATTTGATTATTTTTTAAATGTGTATTAATTAAATGAATGGTTGTAATATTGATGACAGACCAGTATCATATTTCTCTGACATTGATTATCCAGTCTCAGATATGGAAGAAATAGGACATGGAGCTAACAAGATTGCCTAACAATTACATTAGATTTCAGATCTTCACCTCAATCTTTCGCATTAGTTGATTTATTTTAGTGTAATAATAAAAAGAATTTGGCTTTAATTTTTTGTGTTTTACTAACCAAAATAAGGGCATTTCATAAAATGCAGAGATGCCAAAGTCAAAAGACATCTTAATTTTGTTAGATAAGAATATAATAGTAAGCTTGTCAACCAGTTGTTCTTGTTTACTTTTCTTTAAGGTACCAGTATTTTTTGCAAATTAAACAAGATATTCTTACTGGAAGGTAAGATTTGTTTGTTTTACAAACTTGAGTGTCTTGTGATTCAGGGCAGGGATGGGCAGCATTCATTAAACAGCATGACATAATGCTACAATCAAGTGATTGCATGCATTCTGTGAAAAGTTTAAAATGTGTGTACTAGAACATTGTAAATGCATATGTAATGATAGAACACATTTTATAATGAATTCAGAATTATACTAAATAGAGTTTTAACGCTAACATTTTCTTATCTGTCTGCTAAAATTCCTGCACTTCCAATTCCCAACAGATGTAGAATTTCTATTCCTTCCAGGAAGATAATATGTTCTCTTAAAATATATGGTGATGATGTTTGCTTTGAATGACATGTTAGGATTCTGAGAAACTGCTCATTTACATTTGCCTCTCTCCAAGTTGCCACCTACAAAACACAAACTCTGATTTCACATGTTAATAGATTCGGAGATCTTGTCACTATCAAGCTAGGATATAAAAACGATGGTTCTTAATTAATAATTCCTGGCTTGTCTAGATGTCAAGATATCTGGTTTTGATATTGATAAACAAATTCCCTTTGTTTATGTTTGTAATAATAGAAACACAGAACCACTGATAGGCTGCATCAGTATTCATCTTGAACATAGGAAACCAACATTATCCAGAATTCTGGCTTAGTATTTTGATGTGTCTATACAGATAGTCCTCAGTTAATGACTGCCCTGTTTAATGACCATTTAAAGTTACAGTGGTGCTGAAAAAGTAATTTGATGACTAGTTCTCGAACTTACGGTATGTCACATTGCAGCGTCCCTATGTGATTACCATTCGGGCATTTTGCAACCAGTGCACATTTACAACCATCACAATTTCCCACAGTTATATGATTGC